AAATAAATTTTATTATATTTAAAATTATTTTAAATACAATTAAATAAAATAGAGATTTATAAATTGTTTATCAATTAATTTAAACATTTGAATTTTTAAATTGTTTAGATATTTAAGTAACACATTTTATTCAAATTTATTACAAAAGTACCACATATATATATATATATATATTAAAGCGTATTTTTAAAGAAAAATAAATTGTATAATTTTTATAAATTAAATTGTATGATTGAATTGTATGATTATATTAAAGCGTATTTATAAATTAAATTGTATGATTTTTAAATAAAAATAAGAAAAATAATAAAACTACTATTTATAGGTTGCATTAAATGCTGACCTATTTTTTTGCTACTAATTTTAGTAAATAGGATAGCTTTTTATATAAGTATAGATAGATTATTGAACAAGAATGCAAACTCTTTTATTCCATTTAAATTTTTTCAAACTAAATTTTTGTTCGACAGTATTCAATTTTAACAATAACTGACACCTAAAATGTTCTTCCAAAAATAATTATTTGATTTTCTATAATATAAGATTATGTTTAATATAATAAATACTTTCATTTCACAAGTTCATTAATAAATTTTGTGGTAAAATTTGAATTGAAACATACAAGTATAATATTAAAACTAGTACAGAGCCCGTGCGATGCACGGGGTGCACAATTTTAAGGTCATTTTTTTATTTTTATAATTATATAAATGAATAAAAAATATGTACGGGATATATATAGTACGTGACCTGTAATAGGCCAAAATGTGAACACGGGTGATGCACGGGGTGCACAATTTTAAGGTCATTTATTAGTGCATACCCCGTGCGATGCACGTGATACATATAGTAAATCAATTATTTCTATAGGACTTGTACGTCTAGACAAAAAAACAACAGGCTTGGATCATCTATATTTCACATCTTTTAATAAGTGGCGTTTATTTAAACCAAAAAATTAACATGCTAATTAATATATAATTCCGCTAACACGTCATACTAATAGTTATTTGATTTTAGAATACATATTTATTCATTGATATAGGAAAAAATAAAATTTTTATTAATTATTGTTCACCATATAATACTCAATTATTATTTTATTATAAAATTTACAGTCATATAATGTAATTATTATTATTTATAAAAGTTATAGAAGTAGTCTTCTTTATGTAATGAAATTAAAAAAAAAAAATGTGAGTATAAATGTTTACAAAATACACACACATGTTTTTTAGAATTCAATTTTTTCATAATAATTTTTTTTTTAAAAAAAAAAAAGTAATTTAGCAATTGCCAAAAAATAAATCCCTTACATAATCAAGAGATTTTTTTAAATTTTCATCCTAAGGCTTTATAGTTTATTTAACATACTATGCAATAGAAAAATATTTTACAATAAGTTCATTTTTGAAACATAACAAAAAAAAGTGATAAAAACACTATCATAGTTGACAATAGTATACAAATAAATAACATGTCAAAATTTTAAAAAATAACTATAATTTTATTATCTAACCATCAACAAAATCATTTAATGATGTGATCATTATCTTTTAAATAATAAATATTCGTGTTATATAATTAAATAAAGGTTAAAAAATATTACTCGACAAATATTAATTATAATGAATATCAGTAAAATCATTGCATAAATTATTTAAGGAAAAAATCTTGAAGATCATATTTGGATAGTAAATGTAAATATGCAAGCATTTAATGCATATAGTAAAAAATTTCCAAATAAAGTATGCATTAAATGTGTGTTGACTTTTCTTGCTACTGTTTTTGGTAAATAGGTTGACTTTTAATATATATATAGATTGAGTAAGTGGGAAATGCATGGGGTTCATAAAAAATGAAGTTTGTGATATTTATGGTTATTGTGAAACTAGTACAACACCCGTGTATTACACGGGTGTTTGCTAATTTTTTTCTTAAAATCTAAAATTAATGAGAAAAAATAGTTTGAAAATTTAAATACCTTCTATAAGAATATATATATATATATATATATATTATATTTATTATGACACTTTTTATTTGTGCGACTTACCTATGTTATATTGTACTAATTTTTTTAACTTACAATATATAACTACATTAAATAAAAATATATCAATTGAGAAATAATTTTATTTTTCTAATAAATTTTAATAAATATTATTATTTTTTATTATTATAAAGATAAAGATAAATATAATTTATTTATTTTATATATACAATATGGATGTCAAATCGAAGATCATTAAAAGATGATTAATTGAATATATTATATATGTAAAACCGATAAGAAATATAAAAATTATCAACTTTTAAAATACATTCATAATTCAATAGCTTATTGAAGGAAACAAATCAAAATTCAGAGATATTTTAGTCACTTAGTGGCTAACAATATAAAATTACAAAGAATTAAAGGGTTATATTAGTACAAGTAATATTAAATACCTAAGTTAGCTAAATAATATTTATGGAATAACCGAACCTAGATTATTAATTATTAATATATCAATATTATTTGTCCAAACCTAATTACGAAGCATGATTCTTCGCCAAGTAAGATTCCGAAACACCAGAAGCAACCACGTAGGTTCAGCGCATTCGGAAATTATATATAGGGAGGATTATGATTATAGGAGTAAGAATAAGTTTTCTATGATGTGGCACATCGGTAATAAAAAAAAGGTTTGTGTAGTAGTGTTAAGAGCATCTTCAATGCTTGAATGTTGTTGTAGTAAATTATCGATCTTCCACATCAACACATTTAGTAAAATTACAATTCTTCACCCTCCTATGTACAATATGATCACTAATATTGTGATGATGTGAACATAATTAATGTATACAATGTAGAGAATGTAGTTCATTCATATTCTTCTCTACACTTTAGTTAGTCAATAAATAGAAAAGAGATAATTATTTTCACCAATTTCGAGTTATTATTTAATTGATTGTATTTATTTTATTGAACTTTTAATATTTAGTAAACAGATGATATAGTACTTAAACTACGTTGTGTATTGGAGAGAATTTTTATTTTTAAAAGTAGTAAAATTAATGTTTCTCCTAAGGTTCACAATCTATTTAATTTAATTATTAAAATTTGTCAAAATATCACAACATCTACATCTAGAGCATCGAAGATGCTCTAAGAATGTTGTTACACAGACTTAACATTTGGTCATTTATATATATATTTTATTTTTTCAAATAAATGACATGTATACTTTAAAATTGAAATATAACTCTAAAATATGATATAATGAAATTCATATTTTATAACATAAATATATATTTTTGTTAAAAAAAGTATTGTGGGACTTACTAGGTCGTCTCACATAAATTTGGTCGCACCAGACAAAAGATGCATAATCATTGGAATGCCTGAATTTTTACACAAACAGTAACAGTAAGAATAAGAAGATGCCAAAATTTTAAGAACACGTATGAAACATGAAAGTCTAAAAAGCGATTAAATTAGTATACTTAATTAATTAATTTTTTTACGTAACTCATTAGCTCAAATTTAAATTACTAAATAATTGGGACCCGTACAACAAAATAATAATGAATAATACTCATTCCGTTTTAAATTATAGGTCGCATTGACTTTTTCGGTACATCCACTTTGTTATGTATCTAGATAATAATATGTCTAGATACATAACAAAATGGATGAATAAAAAAGTCAAAATGACTTATAATTTGAAACGGAGATACTTAATAGGCATATGGTATCCCCATACACTATTCATTGTAGACCCACTTGTTATTTTAGTAAAACCCAATGGGAATTACAATCTTTTCAAATTTTTTTTTTTTTTTTTTTTTT